AAATCACATTGAAAAAATTCAAAAGAAGGAAAAAAAATAAAAGAGATGCAAAACAAGTGGGACAAGTCTAAAGCAAACATAAGAATGTAGCTAGGAAAAAAAAAAGAATGCAGGTAGAAAGCCAAATACGTCACTCATTACATGTTCATTAACCACTACCACACAAAACCAGATAGCCGCACCTCACAATATAATGGTAAGAGGAATAGACAAGTTACCAAATAATAAACTTTGTGTGACTCTGTTTCTACATATTTCGAAATAGGTAACATTATGCTATATTGTCAAAGGATGCAGGGTGATGATATCTCTAAAGGAAAACAAGGACGGAATTATTACAGAAGTCAGGGGAGCAGTTACCCATTCTCAGTCAGAAAGGGGAGTATTTGGGGAGTGGCCCTGTGTAATTTTCTTTAAACTGTACATATATGTTTAATATACTTTTCCACATATGCTTTACATACAAGTATCTTCCCATAAGAACTGTTAAAAGATAGACAAATACATACATAAATGATGTTTTATACAGAGTTTCCTTGTGTTTTGTACTTCTTTAGACCAGACTTCCAGAATGGAAATCAGTGGGTCAGTGATACTAATTTTTAGCATCCTTAATGAAAATGGTTCAAAGCCAACTCTCTCTGATTTCTAGGCCATCTTCTCATACAGTACACGTTACATCCCACATATTCTTTTTTTTAAAGGTTTTATTTATTTATTTGACGGAGAGAGAGAGAGAGTTCACAAGTAGGCAGAGAGTCAGGCAGAGAGAGAGGGAGAAGCAGGCTCCCTGCTGAGCAGAGCCCAATGCGGGGCTCGATCCCAGGACTCTGAGATCATGACCTGAGCCAAAGGCAGAAGCTTAACCCACTGAGCCACCCAGGCACCCCTACATCCCACATATTCTTAAGTTGTTTACCAAAATCTTTTTATCACCTTGTAGTACCACCAGGATTGTATCATTATCAGAATCTTTCTATGTCACCAATACTATCATTTAAAAATATCCACTTTCAAGTGAACTTAATAGGTAATTACTCTGACTATTTTCAGGTGCATTTGTGCCATATTAAAGATAGCTCTTCATTTTAAGGAAGTATAGTAGAATGTGCCTTCTGGACCTATGTTGCCTAGATCAACATCCTAGCTCTCCCAACAGCGGCTGTATTAGCTTGGGCCAGATATTTTACCTGTTTCTCAGTTTCCTCATCTGTAAAATGAGGGCAATAACAGAATCAATTCCATAGGCTTGTTGAGAGAATGAAATGTAAATGCCTAAAACAATGTCTGGTACATTTTAAGTATTTGGTACTTGTTTGTAACTATTTATTGCAAGAGTAGACCAAAATGGATTTGAGCTCAGTACAAATCACATCCTTACTAACAGCATACATGTAATCAGTAAGACATTCCACGGCCAACCTAAAAGACAGATACTCGCCACTCCTCCATGACCATTGTCTAATTCATCTCATCAATGCTCTTCTCTTAGAATGTTAGTGCTAACCATGGGGAAAATGAACCCGCGGGAGGATCAAGAATGTTTTCACTCACTCATTAAGTTCGGTAATGAATTCCTGAGCTACATGCCTGGCTCTGCAGTAGAAAGGTGGAATGCGATAGTTTGCAAGACACTGCACACTAGTAGGGGAGAAAAAAAAAATCTAAATATTGGAAAAAGAGGCACCTAGTACAAGAGATCAGGTTAACAGAAGATCCTAGTCTCATTCAAGACATCAAAGAAAGCTTCCTGGGGTGTGAGTGGTAGGCAGGTGGGGTTGGGGGGAGATGACATTCAGTATTTACCACTGTATGCGTCTCTAAGAGATACATTATCTCATCTTTCATTCTTCACAAAGACCCCATTAGGTAAATATCCAATCCCTGTTTTGGAGGTGGGGGAACGGAGATTCAAACAGGATAACTGGCTAGATAGGGTTGTTTCCTTCATCTCCAGAAACACAGTGGGATTCTCATGAAATGAAAAATCTACTTAGGTGGCACTTAAGGTTCTTTTTGTCCTCCCTTAGCACGCAAAATCTAGTACCGACTGTGAGCCAAATTCTAGCGCACAGATATCAACAGCAAACAGCTGCTTTGACTCTTTTTTTAAGGCATTAACAGGAAATCCCAAGCTAAATTTAAATGGGGCTTTTAGGAAGAAATAATTCAAGGAAAAATAATCAGCATCTAGTTGTGTTTGCCCTCCATTAAGAAGTCTCTGAATACAAGCGCTATTAAATGCTCTGAAACCATTTGAATTCACATCTTTGCTGGCCTTCCACCCTTGGTTTGTCTTGGAGTTTCTTACCTTGCAATTATGCTTGAATTCATTAAAAACTAGATTACCCTAAGGGGTGTGTTACTTGATATTCGTTGTTAAAGTAACACAAGTCCTGATTATTGAAAAAAGAAAATACCAAAACCATTTGTCTGAGTTGGTTTTGGGTAAAAATAAAACTAGGCTGCCTTATTTTTGGGTAAAACAAAACCCAGGCTGATTCAACACCTTCCTCTGAAATGGGTACTATTGTCAGTGGTTTCTTGGGTATCCTTTTATTGTTTCATTGTAATTAAAATATTTCAGATTTGTTCCTCTCCACAAAAAAAGGTAACAAGATATACAGACTTGTCTGCACTTGAGATTTTTACTTAATGATGTATCTTCTATATCTTCCCATATCAGTGTTTGTTTTTTTAGAGCTTTCCACGGTATGGATATAACCTGATTATTAAGTAGTTTTCAACTGATGAGTATTTGGCTCATTTCTAATTGTTTGCTCTTACAAGTAAACTTAGGGACATAAGTGTTGCCTGCGTGTGTGTGCATTCCTAAAGACCAGCCTTGTGGATGGGATGGGGCTGGGAGTGTGTGTCTGGGTTATAGACAGCAAGGGTAGAATTAATAGAAGCCATTTTCAGGCCTGATCCTTAAATCTATTGTGTACAACCCTCCTATGCCCTCTTCTCCTGTAAAGACTCCTTGGACAACATGTGTTCCAGATGGTGTCATTACAAGATGAAGGGGACCTGCCCCGCTAGCACATGACTGTGCCATAACTGGGGGCAAAAAAAGGTCATCGTGTTAGGTGCCTGGGATTTTGTGGGTTAGTACAACATCACGTACTGCTTCCTGACTCATGCAAACCTGTCCCTTCACATGAGTGCAATTACATTTATGGAGTAAGTTCCCCAAAAATAGAATTTCAGACTTAGCGCTAACTTTCCCTGCTCACTATCTCTAGGTTTTCAGCAGACCCTCTAATTTATCCTCGTGCTTCTCATTTCCGACCCTGGCCTTGCATTCCATGGGCACTGCCTTGGTGTTTACCCTTCCTGTTTACGCTCTGATGGTCCCCTTGTTGCTGATCTTTTGCTCTCTCAACGTCCATGCACAATGCTGTCAGTCTAATGTTTCTCTCTGCTCTCAGAACTAATGCAATTTTTCCTGACCCCCTAAAATTTTTCTTAACAGTTGCCAACTGCCTCCAGGCTCAGTTCTAGATTTTTCTAGCCTGGCATTTAAACCTGCCCACACTAACATTTAGAAGATAGTTACCAGTACAGTGTCCAGCGTGGAGTAGGTACTCAGTAAATGGTGGGAGCTCTTATATTTTATAGCTGCAACTAGACAGTGCCTTGTGCAGGGCTGACATTCAAAAAATAATTTCCGGTCAGTAGACTCTGTTAGGGAGAATTCATGACTCACTAAATTGCATTACAATAGGATTCCTTGCCTTTTCCTCTAACAGCATGGTTTTAAGGTTAATATCCGTAGTGTGTTGCTTAATCAGAGGCTTGGATGGTGAGGCTACAGAGGAGTAGCTCATACTAAACATCTAGGGAAGCATTCCTTTGTACCTGGGGTGGATTATGCAATAGTGCTTATGGCATCCAAGGATGATGGTACCACTTAAGGCAATATGAAAAAAAATGTATCACACGGAATATTCACATGGAGCTTCTATACCTAAAAGACACTGCTACCTCATAATCAAGTTGGAATAGCTGTTTTTAGCATTTTAAAGTGTAACATGCCAAGACATGATTATTTGCATGTTGTTACTCCCCCCCCCCATGCATTCAAAGTGAGCCCGTACATCATCCGTGTTTAACAATGTTTGGGGGACGGATGTGATGTTCCAGCAAGAGATAGCTGCATTTCTGTAACATGGGAATGATGAAGAAGAATTTTATTCCTGTTGATGTGGATGTTTATTCAAAAAAGAGAAGTATTTTTAAATGTTGGTTATTTTTCACATTGATTTAACTGATTTAAGGGAAGAAAATGTGTGAAATTATTCTGAAGCATAAATCCAGTTGTCTTGGAAACTTTGAGAGATAAAAAATGAAAACAAGATATTGTCATGCTTAAACTGCAAGGATCTGAATATAAATCACCTCTAAATTTCTCTATATTTTGTTCCAGTATAAACAAAACTCATTACTAAGGACCAGAAAATATTAAGGACATGGTGGATGTAAAATAGTGCATAGTTTGTAATGTATTTTATTTATATCACCTGTCCAGAAAATCTAAATCCAGCATTTTGTTACTGATTTGGGACAGATTTTTTTCTGGAGGTTCAGTGGAGTCAAGCAAAAGTTAGTCCATCTGTCTGTTTATCTCTCTTTCTTGCTAATAATTTCACATTTGTTTATGCTTTAGGTAACTGTGCCCAAGTGCTGAAATCTCATTTAACGCTTAATCAGATTACAAATTTTAAATGACACAAACAAGTAACATACAACAAAATGCTGTTTGTACTGGGCTTCACTGAGGAAAGCTCAGCGCTGTGAGCAGGTTCTTACAAAATGACCCCTCCCAGCAGCATTAGCTGTAGAGATGCCCACGGTGCTCTCTGATACTTTGCAGAAAATAAAAAGCAAGTAGGGAACTGATGCATTCTTTCACAAAGGCTTTTATAAGCAATAACCTAGTCTAAATGAAAACCATGGAAATTAAAGCACATCCTTTAGTAGAGGCAAACAAACTGTCTCTGAACTAAATATTTCAGGGAGAAAGTGGAATTCCTAAGATTGTAAAAGTGGCATCTAGGATTCTTATGTAGTTAGCTTAAAAAGTGATCCACGTTTAATCAGAAGCAAGAATGACTTTATTTAACAGGACTATTACTAGTGACTTTCGTTAATACACTTGATCTTAGCCAAAAGGCTGAGAAGCAATGTGACTTTTGTTAATAACAAAGCAAGTTGCTTCTGTATATTTCTACTCCTGACCCTTATATCCACTGGCTAATATTCAGTTACCTTTTTCTCCTTTTTTCTTCCTGATCTCAAATTACACACTTCTCTATTGTGGGGTTTCTTTTCCTTTTCTGCTTTTTCTAGTAGCCAAGGATGTGCTCTTTCAGCTATGACCATTCTGGAAACATGGAGTATTGAATAATTATAATCTATAATGTATACATTTTGACTTTAAGTAAGTTAGGCAGATATAAATTTAAAAAGGAGTCACTATCCTCTTTACAGTTATCCCTCTCCTAGGGAAACAACCTTCCCATTCCCTCTCCCTACCCTCCCTACACCACCAGTGCACGTGTGCGCACACACACAGCAATCCGAAGAACAGTGGGAGGTCTCCTGTTATGAGACCACACTTCTAGTTTACCCCCTCTAGGCAGCTTAGCAAATTAGTAGAAATGGAAGAGATGTGTTCTTGTTTGGATGGGTGCTTTGGAATTGATAGTTTGATAGGATCTATAGCCTCTTTTAGGAATTAATGACTTGCCCATCCAAACAATATTTATGGTATTTCCCTCCCAGGGCCTGTTTCTGTTGGGGTTCTGTATCTCTGTAGGATAAATTAAATATACATTTGTCATCAAAACTATTTTTCATTAAATGTCCCCTGTGCATAATTTCTCTTACGATGTTCTGTTTGAGCATGCGGGATAGAAAAGTATAATACGAGTGGACCGACAGGCAAGAAGTAGGGCGTGAGAAGGACTGATTCTTCTGACTCAGTTATTTCTGGTTGAGAGCTGCGAGTTAGGGTAGCTGGGTTCTAAATTCCTCCGATGGAATCAGTGAAGACATCTAAGAGTACCAGTGGTAAGAGGTGTGCAAATCACGAATCTGTTCTGCAGTCTTTCTTAGCTGAAAGGGCCGAATGATAAAGGAAGCTAACACATGAAGTCCAAACTATCTTAGGTGACTTTGAGAAAAATGAGATTAGAAAAAATTTTTTTGTCCTGTCTGTAAGAGCTGTAGTAAGGAGTAGCTGAAGGGGGTGGCATTAACTCCAAGAAACAAATGAGGTAGTCTTGCTAGAAGACAAGAGAGCACTTCGGCACTACTGATGATTTCCTTGGAACTGGCTTCAGAGAGCTTTGTAATGGGAGCCCTGGCGAGACTGTGATCACGCACGCGGTCAGCCAGCCTTTAACGTGGTGGTGAGTCTTCATCAAGGAGTAGAAGAGCAAACTCTGAAGAACTACGGCTGTAGCTGGGGTTGGTTTGGGGTAAGACTTACCCTTTCACCTTACAAGTGGAGTTAAATGATGGAAAGATACTTGAAATGGAGGCAAGGTGAAAGACTATTGTAGATAGGAAATCATAATCTGGCATACAAATGTAATTCTAACATTTGATGTCCATGGCATTTGGGGACTTTCTTGGGACAGGGAGAGGGTCTTTTATTTCTCTTTTGCATGCCCGACCATACCCAGCAGAGGACCTGCCATGTCCTCAGTTCGCAGTTCCTGGTCAATGATGATTTCGAGGCTAGTTGATCATAGCTGCCTATTTATTTTCTTATGGGGAGGTTGGAGTAGTTCTTTTTTTCTGTAAGCAGTTTCTTTGTTGAATTTTTACACGTTTGGGTGTAAATGAGAAGTATCTCAAAAAGGGTGTTTTATGCATAGCTTGAAATGTTCATATAACCTAAAAATATATAGAAAGTCATAGCATCATACCAGGTTAGATTCATGTGGACTTGCATAGAAATTTGCAAATAATAACTTGTATTTCTCATATGATGCAAACTTTTTAGTATTTACATGTTTTTAAATTGAATGACTATATAGAAAATGTACTCTTTCAAGAATATACGCAATTTTCTAATGACAGTGAAATCTTAGACTAAGAACAAAACTTTTCAATTCTTGGATGGATTGAGGAAAGTTATCACTAAAGTATTATCAAGAGTATGATGCTTTTCATGAGATTTTCATTGTAGTGTTAGCAATTTTTCTTTTGATACACATTAATGGTGGTGTTAAGTTAAAAACACAATTCATGTAATTGAAAACTTCCCCACTTTATTCTTACACTAAATGCTTTTGCAAAGTAATGGAGGTTTGTTGGAAAAGATGTTCATTAGGTTCACAGTAAAATGACTCATTGTTAAAAAAATAAAAGAAGACAACCTACCAAATGTAGAGTTTGAGAAAGTAAACACTGCACTCTCAAAAGCTCACTTACTGATTTTCTTTTTTTTTTTAAATTTAAATTCAATTAGCCAACGCATAGTCACTTACTGATTTCCATGTTTACCTTCCTTATCTAAAGAAATTAATTATCCTAGAGTTCTAACAGTATTTAGAATGAGAGTTTAAAGAAGTGAAAGTCTAAGTCAAATGGAAGGAAATGCCCTGTATTAAATCTTTATATGTTGTCAACCTTGGTTGAATTCTCAATTTAAAAAGAAAGAAAGAAAGAAAGAAAGAAAGAAAGAAAGAAAGAAAGAA